GCTCTCGAGATCTATTAGAGTTCCGAGGGTATTAAGTAGCTCGGCCTTACCGCCGCCGAATAGCGCTAAGCAGAGTATCTCGTCGATATTAGTAAGCATTACGCGAAGGTTACTACTACGATTAGAAGAACCCGAGGACCGACGATCTACCTTGTCTTTACGTACTATAACTAGCTCTTTAACGAGCTCGAGGAAACCGTAGCTAAGCTAGCTAAGAAGAGCGTTCCCTAGAAAGTAGCTATAACGAAAGCTATAGACACCTCCTATACTAAGTTGCATAAATATTATAGTGCTACCTTTAACTCGTTCGGGGATATCTATAGCGTTGCGTACTTACTTAACCCGGTAGAAAAGGATATATACTAGTAGAGGCCGGAATAGAAGGCGGACGAGGTATAGCCGAAGCATTACTAGACTATTCTAGAAAAGATGTTCTACGAGCGTCGGAAAGAAACTAGTCTAAATGCAGCTCCTATAAAGAAAAAGAAGGTTTAGAAGGCTCCGATATTATACCTATTTCGTAGATAGGAAGTAGAGGCAGAAGAGGAAGCAACTACTAAAGTAAATAAAGAAGAGTTCGATCTCTATCGGCGCGCGAGTAAGTATAAACCCGTAGGCTCGGAAAGAGGGCTAATAATCTCTAGATCTTACCGGTCTTCTAGACGAATTCGGAGACGATATTCTCGCTATATAGTAGCGGTTAGAGCCTAAGTTTCTAACGATAGCGTCGGTCGCTCGGGACGTCCTCGCTATCCTAAGCGTAGGTATAGGCTATAAGAGGTCTTTTAGTATCGCTCGTTACTAGGGCCGCTTTAATTAAATATACTCGCCTACTACCTTCGAATCTATTATAGTATTCCGATACTATCTCCTCTACTAGAATCGCTAAGGTAGGTTACTAAAGATTATACTAAAAGAGTTGATCGAAGAATTAGAAAACCTTAAGATCGAAGAAACCTAGGAGCGCGAAGAGAATGCGAAACTTAGTCTAAGCGAAACCTTAATTAGCGATAACGAAGAGGAGGAGGGCGGAGGTAGAAGGCGATACCGGATCGAGAAGCGGAAACGTATATAGGCTTAGAGTAGCTTTAAGGAGACGAAGCGTTTACGTATAAGGTAATATAGCCGGCGTATATAGCCGGTATATATCCGAAATATGTTTCGAATTCCTAGGACCTAAATAGACTAGTTGCTATAGCAACCGACCCCGCTTACCTACGGACTATTTCTAATTCTCTGTTCGCTCTTCCTCTCCTTCTTCCCTTTCCCTATATTCTTAAAGATAAATATGCCTTAAGGATTCGGCTCTTCGGGCCTTCCTAAGCCGGCTGCCTCCCCTTCCTTAAGCTACTATCCTTTATTCGAATCTAACGATAACCTAATAAGGCGGTTTAATAGAAGACTATTTGTTCTAGAAGGTAAGAAGCATTAATATCTCCTTACGATTATATACTTATTAATTTTCTAGGTCCTACCGATATATCCTCGTCGCCTAAACGCGCAGATAAATATCTTTAGAGGCTAAAGGGCAAGGGTAAAGCAAGCTAAGTATAGGGAGACCGTAGCGAGAACGAGATATTAGAAGAGTAAGGCTCTCCGTAGTATATACGAAGGAAGGGGGTTCCTCGGAAAACAGTACCGAAAAATAAGAAGGCTATAGGTAGATAGAAGAAGGCTAAAAAGAGTAGGCGGACGAAGACTATCGCGAAGAAAAGTTATCTTTCTATTAAAAGAAAGGGAATAAGGCAGGACTCGACGATAAAGAAGCGGCGCTTTAAACTAGGTACTATTACCCTTCGCTAGATCCGGCTTTTCTAAAACAAAAGAGGGACCGAGCTTTTAATCCCTAAGACTCCCTTCTAGCGACTCGTCCGAGAAATTATATTAGATTTTCGGTCTAGTATACGATTTACGGCTAAGGCGATTAGTACTCTTTAGGAAGCTACGGAGGCATTTCTCGTAACCGAGCTTAAGCTTTTAAACCTCCTTACTATCTATACGAAGCGGGTTACTCTTTAAAATAAAGATATACAGCTTCTAGCTAAAATTCGGCGTCGGTTTATAGCGGATTAGTTAGAAATTGTATTTAGTCGTTAGATTAACCTAGAAGGAGGCCTATTTTCGTATCCTTTTGCCGGCTATAGGTACCGGCCACATTTCTAATTTTATCTCCGCGCCGTCCCTAAATCTAAGGTACGAAGTAGAAACCTAGCGCTCTATATTTACCCGGCTATTATAGAGACGAGCTATATTTAGATTAGTTTCTTCGTATATCGCGACCTAGCGGGTAGTAAGCGAAAGGGCGATAGAACGTTTATAATACGTCTCTATTTAGACCTAAAACATAAAGGTCCTAAGGAGCCCTAGTATCCTAACTATAAGGAGATTCTTTAGTATTAGTACTTTAATCCTCTATACTACGAGGCAGATAGCAAGCCTATAAGAGAGAAACTTTAACGAGAAATTCTCTATAATACGTAGCGCTATTGCATAGCTATAGATACGTACTAAGTCCGGCAACTCGAAGAAGAATTAAGACAGCGTATTAGCGACCGAGGAAGAGATCGATAGTATACTAGTAGAGTCGAGGTCTTATAAGCGAAGCATAAGATAATATAGGCTCTTAGTCGTATAGAGTAACGTACTATATAAATAACTAGGCGTACTACTCTTATTCACTTACGACCTATATCCTAGGATACTCTTCTCGTACTTTTTATACTCTTTTCTAATACCTTACCTATAGGCGCTCCGCGACAACCGAGTGAATATAAGCTATAGGGTTTCCGCTCGGTACCTTAGCCTCCGAGATAGGGCGGAGTTGAATTTAGAGCGATAGCCGGCACTCGTAGCCGGCATATAGAGACGGTAGTAGGCCTTTTCCTACTAAATGACTAGCTTGTTTAGTATAGCCTACCTAATATTTCTTATATTTACTAGCAATAGGCCTAGGTTACTTATAAGATTACTATAGCTAGTAAAGGCATTACTAAAGAATATCTATACTATAGTAAGATACTATTATTACGCCGGCTATTTATTAAAAGGAGGCTTTCGCCTATTACTATGCCGGCTATATATGCCGGCTATATTTCAAAGTCTCCCGTACCTGCCTTTTTTAGCCGTACCTACCTTTTTTAGCCGTGCCTACCTTCTTTCCTTGCTCTAACGTTACTATAATATAGGCTTACGCGAAGCTTACTCTATTACCTAGCGATAACGCGATACTACCGCTATATTTAACCTTCGTATCGATACCTATACCTCTACGCTCTATATCTACTACCTCCGTAATACCCTCGCTCTACGCGCGCCTTCGTATACCTTCGTAACGCACTTTTTTCCTTAATTCGACGACTTTTACAATAGCGAGTCTACTTAACTAAGTTACGACGCCTCGTAAGAAGGGACCTAGTGCTTCTACGGGTCGCAACAAGACCGGAAATAGTAGAACGAGTATAGTATATTAACGCAAGAGGGCTACTACTACTACCGCTAGCTCCGGTACTAGAAAGGGCGTCGCGAGTAAGGCTCCGCGTAAGACAACGGCGGGCAAGGCTCTACGTAAGACGATAACTAGCGCTTCTACTACTAGTAGCAATCGTACGAAGCGTCGATAGCGCCTAGGAAGTAAGTCCTATTTATAGCCGGCAGCGTAGCCGGCAGCGTAGCCGGTAGCGTAGCCGGCATTCTTACTGTCTTTTTACTAATCCTTCTTTAGCCGTAGCCCTCCGTAAGATTCGGTAGTATTAGAAGAGTTCTTAGCTCCTAATCCGTAAAGCTCCTTTCTAACGACTTGTTCGCGAAATTGCCTAGGATTATAGAACGGACCTTCGCTTCTAAGCCTCCGCGATAGGCGCCCTTTAAGAGGCTATAAAAGCCTACCTAGTTCGTATCTTTAAATATATGTTTCTCTTCTACCTCTTTTCGGACTATACTAATACTATTTTAGCGGTTAACCTTATAGCTATCTACGCGAAGCGTATAACGATTATAGACAAGGATTTTAAAGTACTCGATTAGATTCTAAAAGGCTAGAATGTCTATATTCGAGACGGTGCTAGGTAGGATAGATGTTCTAGTAGAAAGGATGTTCGTAGTATTATCTATAAGCTTTTCTATATACGAAATAAGCCGCTGTTATACGGCGCTATATACTGCGCTCTAAATACTCTCTAAGTATATATACATAGTATAGTATACTTTATTAGCCGTACGGAATAGAAGTCTCCTAAAATCCCGTTAGTACTAAGGAGTAAAAAGGCCGGCTACGCTGCCGGCTACGCTGCCGGCTACGCTACTAGCTACGCTGCTAGGTTTTTCAAAGAACTAAAAGAAGATAGACATTCCGGTTGATTTGTATTAGTTTAGATTTTTATAAAAAGAAAACAGGGAAAAATAAGGAAGGTTAAAGAGTCTAATAGTTATAGTTATAGGCACTATCCCTGTTTTCTAGAGTATATTATATACCTGCCTTCGCAACTCTACCTAATACTCCCTCTAAATATCCTTATACTCTACCTACTAAAAATTCAACTAGGTACCTGGACCTGTAGCTGCCTCTATATCTTTTACTATCTTCTATAGGTTAAAGGCCTCTTCTATAGCAGACTCTACCTCCTTATATAATACGAAGTTACTACCTACCCTACCCTTTATATCTCCTAAATAACTAAGAGTTCTAAGGAACGAACTAGCATTCGGCCTTAGTATAGCGAGTAACTAGTAGAACGTTCTGTAGAGCTGCCTTATAGCTCTTTTATATACTATGCCGATACCGAGGGAGGAGCTATCCTAGTACTTAATATTGTCGAATAGTTCGGTAGGAAAGTGCATAAACTTCTTAAGGAGGAGGACTTCTAGGGAAATCGATGAGTTCTACCTAGATCTAGATAAAGATATTCTACTAAGCAGTTAGGGAATTGAACCGTAAACGAAAGGATGAAATTTATACCTAAGGAGTACAGTTTCCGAACTAAACTATAATGCCTTATATATATATGTATGTGCTTTTGATTAGTTAGTGCCCTTAGCTAATTGTCCACAGATTTAAGGTTATGTGAGTACCTTTATATAACTACGTAGCCTAAGTAGGATTCGAAAATTCTATAAGTACTAAGGACTAAAAATGCCGGCTACGCTGCCGGCTACACTGCTAAGTCTTATAAAGGGCTTGCTTGAAGCTACGTATACATTCGTACACTTCTTAAAAACCGATAAATTATATAGTTCGAACTAGCTACTTATATAGTTGCTTAGCAAACCAACCCAAACCAAACTAGAGTTTCGGCTTAGCAAACTAAACCAAACCAACCCGAACCACTGCGGGGTCTACGCTAACCTTTAGAGGTTCCTAATTAATAGTATTAAAGTCGTCGAAATACTGCTTAGCCTCTTTACGGAGGCAACGTTATCGAGTAAGGCCCTCTTAAGAAGTCGTAGTTATCTCCTTAAGAGCTTTCTCCTATAGGGTAAGAAGATCCGCTCTAGTATAAATAGACCCCTAGTCGTAAATACTATACGTACGATAGGACAACTCGATCGGGAGAATAGCGTCCCTCCTAATTATAAGCTCTACTAGTATAAGTCTAGTCGTATCGATAATAGTTATTCGGTCCGCCTAGAGAAGGGCTAAGATATAGGTAGAGATAGTAACTAATTTGTCCCTACTATTAGTTAACTTAGATAGGGTATTAATTAAAGACGGATAGCCGCGCTTAATAATAGCATTGTATCGCCTTTAAAGGGCTTAGGTTCCTTTAGGCGAGGCTTAATAGCCGTAAAGCTAGTAACTACGTAGCTTATACTACGTATAGTAGCTACGCTTAGCGTACTTCTAGAAAGAGGTAGTCGGTAGAAGAGAGATTTAGCTCTCTAAGATTTAGGTCTTTAAATCGACTCGTTAGCTAACTCTACCTCTTCTTCGTCGTCGTTATTACCTAGGGAAGGGGTTATCGTAGGACCCGTAGCGGCGGTTCCGCTACTCGAAGCCTATATACCGCCGGCGTCCCTTAGAGTACGAAGACGCGTATTCTCTCGCTTAGCTTCTTAAGCTTATACTTCTAGCCTAAGTACTTCTTACTTAGCTATAAATCGTTTAAGCTATAGGCGGGTCGCTTCTTAACGCGCCTAATATTCGGCTTCGTATTATTATACCGCCGCGTCGCTTTCTAATACTACCGGCGCTCCTAGTATATTATTCTATACGGTTTCCGCGCCCGGCATATTCGGATCGCTTACGTTTATCTTTCGGGGTTCTATAGGCCGCTATAAAGGGTAGACGGTTTAGAACTATTAGAAAATAGGCCTATAGCAACGTATAGAACACCCTCTACTAATCGTAGTAGTAGATAGTAGAACTCAACCGTACCTTTCTAAGAATAGGGTAGAGTGTTTCCCATTAACTAACTACGATAGCCCTATACGGCTAGTATACCCGCCGAGCCGGCTACCGAGTATCTCTATAAGAGCTACCGAGCATTTCCGCGTATACGCTAAGTAGGCTTAGTGCTAGCGGATTAGCACTATAATATACGTAAAAACATTATATAACTGTTATATAGGACTTGCTAAGGCAGGATAGGAGACTTTACTTGCTTAGGTTCTTATTCTATAGGCCTGCTTCTAAGGAGTCTACTTCTATAGCCGCTACCGCTATAGAAGCTATAGGTTATTTAGCGGATATAATAGCGTAGCAATAAGAGCCTAAGAACAACGTACTTACAACTAATATTAATTACTTTAAGTGCTTTATTACCGCTACGCCTATTAAGCTACTATAAGTTAGTACTAATAAGCGGATAAGCTAATTAATCTATATAAGTCTACTTAAATAGTAGTGCCTGCCTATATAACGGACGGCCTATCTAACGCTCTCGTAACTAGCTATCGACTTATTATCTGCCTTCGCTATATCTATAGAGTCCGAGCGTACCTTTAGTAGTAGTAGACGTACGGTTTTATAGGACCGAGCCTCTCTTAATAGTAACAGCATCCGAACAAGCGAGTATTCTAAGCAATAGCAACGTACTAGCGTAGCGAATATACTAGTAGATATACTATAACTAAGTATAGAAGCGGAAGACAACGACGAGTTATATAAATAGCTATAGAACACCCTTTATCTTAACCCTAAGCGTTACTACTACCCTTACTATAGCTAAGATTGTATTTAAATATAAATTAAATATAAATATTTACTAAAATTTATTAGTAAATCTATATACGAGCAGTAAATCTTAAACATTTAGTATCTAATAGCTATAGGAAAGACTAAGCTAATTAATAGAAAAGTCGCTAGTAAAGCTATACTATACTTAATCTTATAAAATAATCTGCTATTATCTGCTAGTAGACTAGTAGTGAAGAACTAGATAGTCCTCTTAATAAATTAAAGTAATAATTATATAATTTTTCTTCTTTTTTATACTTGTTTTTTATAATTATTTTTTAGAATTATTTTTATGCCTATTTTTTGTACTTGTTTTCTATACTTATTTTCTAAACTTATTTTTATACTTATCTTTTACTTATGTCTTACTTGTCTTTTGCTTATCTTTTGCTTGTCTTTTGTTTGTCTTTTGTTTAATTTAGTTTATATCGATTTAGAATGTATATTAGTTTTATACAAATTTTTTTATTGTAGTTATATTTGTAACTTCGCACTATATTACAGGTACTGATTTAAGCTGTCTAAGGGCTAAAGGGTATAAAAGGTACGTAGTTTTTTCTACCTAGAGGTAGCTATATAGGATTTGGCTAACTAGGCAATCGTATTCTAAAATCCGGGGAGTTAGAAGTCTTCCCTACCTGCTATATAGCCCCGCCTATCGCATATCTCGATTTGACTTTTTCGAAATTCGGCCTTCTATCTTCTAACAACTGTAACTATAGATATAGACTAGCAATATAGGCGTATAATAGCTGATTGAAAAGAGCAGAAGAAGCCGAGTATTTCTATTACTATAAGGAAGTATTCTATCAAGCGTACGAAGTTAAGTAAGCTATAAAATAGCAAAGCTAGAACTAAGTAGTAGTAGTATAAAGAACAGCAATTACTAATACTATAACAAGAATAAACCCTCTACGATTATATTAATCTTCTTACTAAGTTAGCCCTCCCTCCGACTACTATAATAATACGTAACTCCGCCTACGAAATCTATAGCAATATACCTAGAAAGAACTAGCCTACTCGCTTTAAATACCGGTAGAGAGAATACCTAGATTTAGTATATATTAGCAACTTAGATAAGGCTCGTAAGAAGGCGGATAGCTATCTCTTCTATACTTAGTACTTCGAGAACTTATAAGCGGCTATTAATAAGTACGATATTAACTTAAAGTCGAAGAATATTACAAATATAGACAAGAAGGGCTTTATAATTAGGGTCTTAAGGAAGGCATTAAGATACTTCTTAAAGAACGTAGTTAAGAGTAGACAGCTTATAGGATACCTATAGGATAGTAATAGAGAGTAGATAACCTATATTATAGCTATTTCCGCTAACCTTACGAGCATTCTGCCTATACTAATCTATAAGGCTTAATCTAGCAATCTTTAGGACACCTAGGTAGAGGATATAGACCTAGACAAGTATATAGCCTTCTTTATAATCTCTCTAATAGGCTAGACTTTAGATAAACTCGGCTTTAAATAGTTAACTAAAGTATACGATCGTTTTGTAAAGAAGAAGGCTCGTAATAGTCGCGATTAGAGGCTACTTTTAGTTAATAGATACGGCTCTTATTTAACTATAAAGTTTATTAACTAGGCGCTTAAAAGGAAGATATTAGTAGGCGTATATCCGCCTTATTGAACTTACTAGCTATAACTACTAGATATAGCTATATTCGTATCTCTTACCTCGTAGTATTTAACCGCTTTAAACGCCTATCTATATAAGTTATAAGCAATATAAGATATTATAAAGTAGACCTTCTTTATACTCTTCTAGTAAGCCTAGATACTAGCACTAATACCTTATAATATTAAGTCTGCTTTTAAGAAGACTAGTATCTATCTATTTAATCCGGAAGTAGTCCTATCTAAGCTACTATTGCCGAAGCTATATAGCGACTATTTAAACCTACTATTAAGGCCTTCTATAGGCTATAGGCCTTCTACGATTAGCTTACTTACTATATAAGACTAGCGGAAGATAAGTTCGTTAATCCGTAAGGAGGTAAAGTATAAGGATACTAATAAGGTTCTTAGCCTATATAGTAAAGTTAGTACCTTAGCAGCTAAGAATTCATTGCTTCTTACTTAAGTTAATAGCCTTAGATAGGCCGTATATAATAAGTAGAAGCGCCGTAAACGAGGCAAGAAGTTATATATATAAGTAAGGGCAGAAGAAGGCTCTACTTCTATATTCTATAGTTCTTCTAAGCTACTAAAAGCTAAGGAAATATAGTAAGAGAAGGAATAATAGAAATAGGTAGAGGTAGCTTATAAATAAGACGAGAAGGTATAGGAGGCACTTAAGAAGCAATATATACTTAGTATTAAATAGCTAAAGGCTATATAGCGATAACTAGAGGCTAAAGAAAAGAAGGTAAGGCTTACTAAGGAAGCCTATAAGAAGGAGATAAATAAGGTAAATAAATAGGCCGCTAGATAGCTAAGTACTAACCTATTAGAGGTTATTAAGAAGGTAAAAAACCCCCTCCGGCGTATTATCTTCGAGTAACCGCCTAAGTAAGATATTATAGTATCTCTAAGGAAGAAAGCTAGTAGTTCGGCTTCTAGTAGGCCTATATATATTATATAGCTTCTAGTACGATATAGGATATTATCTCTATATTAGATTAAAGAGCGCTTCTAGCGCTTTTATATATACTAAAAATCTTTACAATCCGACTATTATTAAGTAAATACGACCGTATTAAATATATATAGTAAAACCGTACGCTGCTATACGGCAGGCGGGAGTGTACGGCAGGTAGGGAAGCCTTCTAGAAATCTCCTAGGGTTAACGTACAGTTAGCCTTAGCGTACGGTATTTAGCACTTCCGCGGACTCTCTTTACAAGTAAATAACTCTATAACTATAGACCCGATTAAGAAGGCGATTAATAATCTAAATAGCTAGGAGAGGCCTAATATTAATACAACTGCTAGGACCTATAGAGTTAAGCGTTTAACGCTTTCTAAGCGTTAGAGAGGTGTCTAGGGTAGCAAATAGGTCTAGTACGAAGATAAGCGGTTACTAAATAATCTAGAAGAGGTAGAGTTAGTTAGATATATTAATAAGTTAACCAATCTAGGCCTACTACTAACGGCTTTAATAGCACGCAATCTTGCTAAGCAGGTATATAGCAAGGAGCCTAATAAGAACTAGCCTACTAAGTTTACTAAGAGGCATTTAGATATCCTATTTTCTAAGTATCTTAGCAACCTGGATAAGGTACGGAAGAAGGCTAATTTATAGCCCTTATATACTAAGTACTTTAACAAGTTGCAAGCTAAGATAAAGAAGTATAGTATAGAGCCTAAGAATCTATATAATATAGGTAAGAAGGGCTTTATAATAGGGGTACTTAACAAAGCTAGAAGAATCTTTACAAAGTAGGCAATAATAAGTAGCTACTAGTAGTTAAAGGGGTATATATAGGATAGTAACCGCGAGTAGATAATAGTTGTTAGCTATATCTATACTGGTAGTATAGCACTACTACCTACCTTAATCTATAAGGCTTAACCTAGCTAGTTTTAAGATACTTAGGTAGAAGATATTAACCTAGGATAGTATTTAGCCTTCTTTACTAAGTTACCCTCTAGCTAGACAAACGATAAGCTTAGCTTCGTATAGTTAACTTAAGTATTCGATCGCTATACTAAGTAGAAGGCTCGCAATAGTAGATCCTAGAGCCTACTAATACTAGATAGATACGGCTCTTACTTAAATATAAAGTTCCTTAATTAGGCTCTAGAAAGGCAGATCTTAGTAGGTGTTTATCTACCTTATTTAATATATAGATTGCAGCCTCTAGATATATCCTTATTTGTACCTCTTGCAAGCTATTACTTAACGGCTTTAAACTAGTTTATCTATAGATCTATAAGTATCTAGGGTATAACAAAGCGGGTATTCTTTAGCTTGTTCTAGTAGGCCTAGACTAAGGCAATAGTAAAGAAGAATATAGATAGTAGCTTCTAGAAGACATATATCTATCTATTTAATCTATAGGCAGTACTATCTAAGCTAAAGAAGCTAAAGGGTATAGAAGAGCTAAGTTCTAGTAAGCAGTCTAGTAGACCTTCTTTAAAGGCTTTAACTAGGTCTAATATTAAGAGAGCTAACTAGAAGAAGATTAAGGCTATTATTAAGACTATAGTAGATACTTAGAACTCGAAGAAAGTACTAAACCTAAGGGATTAGGTTAGCAGCTTCTAGGCTTAGAATACCTAGCTCTTAACTTAAGTAAGTAGACTTATAGCTACTCTTAATAATAATAAGAAGCGTAGAAAGCAAAGCAATAAGTTATTTTATTAAAGAAGTAAAGGTAAAAAACGGCTCTACTACTATATTCTACTTATCTACTAAGATTTAGTAGGTAAGAGATATTTTTACTAGGAAGGAGAGAGAGAAATAAGAAGAGGCTACTTAGAAGGAGGCTAAGAAGGTCTAGTAGTAGCTAAATAAGTAATATACTATATAAGTAAAGGAATTAAAGCTATAGTAGAGATAGGCTACTACTAAAGAAAGGAAGGAGAAATTAGCTAAATAGGCCCTTAAGAAGGAAGTAAAGAAATAGATAGTTACGGTTTCTAGATAACTAAATAATAACCTTTAGGAGAGTATAAAGAAGGCTAAGAACCCTCTTAGGCGTATTATATTTAAATAGCCGTAGGAAGAAGATATTATATATACTCTAAGTAAGAAAGCCGGAAATCGGACTTTATAGATAAAGCGATATATACTAATTATAATATTGCCTATAATAGTCTAAGAGGTTTCCTAATCGAAAGCGCGTAGTCGAAATATAAATAGACGAAAGCGTTAATAGTATAGACGTTGTATTAATAGAATGCGAGCGTAAAGAGGGTATATAAGCTGAACGGTAGAAAGCGTGCGCCAAGGCTAAGCGTGCGTCATAGCTGGAAGACTTCTACGTAGCAGCTGAATGGCACTTCGAGCTGGCTCGCAATAATTTCGTTGGCCTGTCAAGTTGACCGAGCAAATGGCCATCTCAATCAGGCAGAAGACTCGCATGGAGTCCACGGATAGAGCATAACACATGGTGCACTGATGAGAATGCATGTCCGCGTAGACTGAGTATACTTCAAAAACTTCATTCAGTACAGCTAACGCTATCGATTCCCAACGGAGCTTTGTTCCACGCCGAACGCCCCAAACGGCCGCAGGCAAGCAGGCCATGCTCGTGAAAACGACGTAAACTGTGCCAGAACCATGTGAAGCACCATCGCATATTCAGATCTATCACGCTCATTGCGTTTCCGAACGCACGCTTTTCCATTCCAACTCGAGTAGCCCGAAGACTATCGATTTGGCAGTGGAATTCAGCAAGCTACTGGCTTGCCCAGTGTATCACGCCCATCCCTCATAGCGTCATCTCCACACTCTAGATTCATGGGTATCTCTGTCTGTCCTTGGCGCTTATTGTGATGCGCACTGTACTCTCTCGCCGCCTTGCATGTCCTCGTCATCTTCGTCGGTGGCTCTTGCTGCGCGATCGCCTTCCCGCGTCAGGTCAACCTTCTCGAGCTGGTAGTCTTCGGTCATGGCGTCTGGCGGTGGGATGTGCTGCGGCATGCGTGGGGGCAATACAGATTCGAGGGCTTGAATCTGCGCCTTGCTCAGAGGTGTCGGGTAGCCGTCGGCATCCGGTGGTCCAGAGAGGCGCTCCGGGAACTTGACTTCAAACTGCACATAAAGGTTGCCAAAGTCGTGATGTCGGTAGGATGGCATACCCTGGCCACGGATGACCTTGATCTCGCCAGGTGAAATGACCTCGCCTGGCAGGATTTCAACGGTCAGCCAGCGCTCGTCGAGGTGCTCGATGTAGATGGCACCTCCAGCAAGTGCTGTAAGAAGATCAATTTCGGCGTGGTAGAACAAGTCGTCGCCCTTTCGTTGGAAACGTGGATGTGGCTTCTGCTCGATCTCGAATTGAACGTCGCCTGGCTGGGCACCCGGGGTCTGATCACCCTCGCCTCGGAAGTCGATCTTGGTGCCGCTCTGCACGCCACGGTCGACGTGCACGTGCAGAACCTTGCGCTCGATGACAGTCTTCTTGCCGTTGCACTGCTTGCACTTGTCCTTCTCGCGGATGGTCTCGCCCTCACCATTACAGTCAGGGCAGACGGTCTGAAAGCGCTGGATCATAGGGCCCATCTGGCGCATCATGGTCTTCATTCCTTGTCCATTGCAACCTCCACATGTCTTGACAGCGCCCTCCTTGCCGCCTCGACCCTCACATTTTGAGCAGATGATGGACTTTTGGAGGGCAAGCTTGGAGACCTTGCCTCGGTAGATGTCCTCGAGGGAGACCTTGTGGACGTGGTGGATTGTGCGTGCCTTCTTGGGACCTTGATCTCTCATGCCGCCGCCGAACATGCCGCCGAATCCTCCACCGCCACCTCCGAAGAACTGTGCGAACAGATCCTCGGCGGCCATGCCTCCGCCAGCCATACCGCCTTGCTCGAGGCCCTCTTCGCCATACTGGTCGTAAAGCTGGCGCTTCTGTGGGTCTGAGAGGACTTCGTATGCGTGGGAGATTTCCTTGAACTTTTCCGCGGCGCTCGGGTCGTGTGCATTCTTATCTGGGTGGTGCTTCAGAGCGGCCTTTCGGTATGCGGTCTTGAGCTTAGCCTCGTCGGCGTCGGGCGAGACGCCGAGCACGTCGTAGAACTTGGTTTCTCGCACCATGGTGGCAGTCGAAGGAGGAGGAGGAGGAGGGCGGGGAAGTGTAGTGTGTCGTGGTCGAATTTACTGACTCGCGGTTGTTTGCTCCGAGATCAAAGGCTGAGGGGATGGAATCAACGAAAGCGCTGCGGTGTGTCAGTCACTGAGCAGGTGGAATGGCAAAGCAAAGACCACGCCGGGGCGACTCCGAGTGAGGCAGGAGGCGGCGGCGGCGGCGGCGAGAAGCGGCGGGCGTGGATGCTTACGGGAATGGCGCTGCGTTGCGGTGCGGTGCGGTGCGGTGCGGTGCGGTGCGGTGCGTTGCCTGCGCTGTGTGCCTTGCGCAGTGACGAGGCGGGCGGCGGGAGAGTCTTGGGTGGGTCGATGTAGCAGCAACAACGTGGGTATGTCGATGTGAAGAGGCGAGATGATGACAAACTACGATAGAATATGTACCCTGATCAACTCGCTGCACCTGCCTTCGCCCAGCTTCGCTCGCTTTCTTTCCGGCAGAAAATTCCTCGGCGCCGCCAGTTGTTGTTGACACATATTCCATGGCGATCGAAAGGCGCCTTGCTGCCGCCACACTGCAGTGCTGTCTCGCGCGCGCGCTCAAAGCGACACTGCACTGTCATGGAAAGTCTTGGCCAGCCCACCCCACCTGCTACAGTAGAACTATTCTGTCACCGCTGAGCCATTCCCCATCCGCAAAAGTTCCGACTGCCGACGCCGAAGTGAATGTTGCGCAGCTTGAAATTTTGCACGTGAAGGCAATCTCGCACTGCAAATCGAGCCTGCTTGCATGATGCGGCACCCTTTTCAAAGCCTCCTCTATGCCCCCCATGCAACCGACGCCATTGGCCGAGGCTTCCTCGTCGCCGCATGTGGCCCACGGCTGGTCACACTGAGCCTTCCATCCAGCCGCATCATATCCGAGTGGGCTGCAAGTGATGCTGTATGTTGACATGCTCGCATGAATGAGTCTGGCATTGATGCGACGCTCGAAGCTCTCGACTGACATTCGCTAGCCCTCGCAGCCGACGACACAACCCGACCATGGCGCTGTCGTGCAAGAATCGCATGGACAGCGTCCACCAGTGAAGAAGCAGAAGATCCGCAACGCCCCCAAAGCTCCGAACGTGATCAGGCTTGCCGCTTCTCCCGACTCCCAGCACATTGTCGCGGTGACCGACGACAAATGCATCCGCGTTTTCGACTGTCGGCAAGCCAGGCTCGAAGAGCTCAGCCAAAGATGCATGCCGAAGCGACCTTGTGCGGTCCAAGTCATGCCTGATAATGCCACCATCCTGGTCGGCGACAAGTTCGGCGATGTCTACTCTTTGCCACTGATCCCAGCTACGATGGGGGACCATGAAGAAGCCGACGCGACTCCGGCGGATTCCACGCCTCAACCAACGCATGCCTTCAGAGTGGCAGCGAGTGAGCTGACCGTCCACAGCAAGCGCAACAGAATGGCCTTGGAGGCGCAGATGAAGCAGAAGAATTTCACGGCTCGGAAAGACCCACTTCAATTTGACCACAAACTCTTGCTCGGCCACGTCTCCATGCTGACTGACATGAGATATGTCCTGAAGGAGGTGGAAGGTCAGCACCGAGGCTACATCCTCACAGCAGATCGAGACGAACACATTCGTGTTTCGAGGGCACCGCCACACGCCCATATCATCGAAGGCTTTTGTCTGGGTCACGCCCAATTCGTAAGCAAGATCTGCCAGGTCGGCAGCAGCGACTTGCTTGTGAGCGGTGGTGGGGACGATTGGATTGGAGTCTGGAAGTGGTCGCACTTCAAGCTCCTCAAGAAGATTTATCTCAAGGACCTAGTCAAAAGCGTTGCCCATCAACATCCAATCAGCGATGATTATAAGCTAGCCATTTCTGGCATATGGAGCGCGCCAATTCAATCTACTGCGAATGAACATGTCCTAGTCATCGCCGTCGAAAAAGTCAAGGCGCTGTTCCTGATATTGTCGTCTGCCCTAGCAGCGAATCCGGACCATGGGGCTCAGGACGCATCGGCGATGGTCGCGAAGCAACTCCCAGGAGTGCCACTCGACGTCACAGCATTCAGAGGCGAGCTGTTGGTATCTCTAGACAACAGGGGTGACGACGACAAGCGACTTGGCATCGTAGGAGTCACTATCGGCCCCGAGCACGGCATCGAAGCCACCGAATGGGTAGATGTGGGCACCAAAGAAACTGGCTCAATCTTGACTGCGCTGAACGAGTATCAAACCCGAGACGAAGTCACTGACAAGGAGCTGGACGACCTGTTCTACGGCGTCGTAAGTCTTCGCAAACGTGGCCCTCAAGGCCCAGGCGATACGGATGAGGTTGCTGTGGAAGAAGACTGAAGAAGTGAGACTTATGATCTGCACAACATCTCTGCCGCTGGTTCCTAAACTTCCTGCTGGCAAAAGCTGACTGACTGATCATGTCACATTTGTCACGCTTGCCGACCACGGAATGAATTGCTCTACGTTGGCCTTCTTCACTTCACCGTTAATCACCGATCGACCTTTTCGATCTGTCGAGAAGTACTTGCAAGTACCATAAGCACATTCCCAAAACCCGTATCCAGTCCGGCCAGTACCCGATCTGCTCAAGAACATCCCCTGTCGACTCAGCAGACCACAATCACAAACTGGACTTTCACCATGGACTTCCCAGATATGCCACACGTACTCATGTCGCGTGTTCCTTCCTCTGCGGCATTTCTGGTTCGTGCATGCATACCGGGACCTACCAGCATTGGCTTGAGTTGGGTCTGCGACGATTGAGCCTCGCCGTGTTCGCTCTTCACCGCACTCCGTACATGGGTATTCTTCTTCGCGCGCCATTAAGGGCTCTATTGGTGAAGTTGGCGTGGAGATACTTTCAGCCTTCTGTATAAGCTCCAGGAGCGCGACATCTGGTTCTACGTCAACAGAGCTGTTACTACCTAGATAATCGAGAGTCATCTCACTCACCTGAATAGCTCGTTGAAGCTGTCCCAAGGCAGTCCGCCAATGCATGCATAGCAATACAGATCGACGAATTGCATGAAGCTTGAGAATAGATAAAGCGAAACGAATCTGCAATCTATCGTCGGACAATGAAGTCAGGCACTTGAGACAACCAAATCAGCAGCCAACGTGCAGCTCAGCTCTGTATATATCTATCAACCTCCAATCTGCGCGGTGTTGACCTGCGCGCCCTCTACTGCAGCCCAACTCTGACAGCGTCGAGATAACCACGGTCCGCGCCATAGGCGTCTATCTAGCAAGTCGGTGAGATCTGCAAACGTGCACAAGGGCTTTTCGACATCCTTGGTGGAACTTCCAAGCGCGTTGCGATCCCGTTCAAATGTCAATGTCGTGTCTTCCAATGGAAAACGGAGGTAGCTTTTCTCCGAAGTTTGGTAAAGCCCCAAAGCTCTAGCTGGTAAGCAGTATCTGCAGCATTATTGACTTGCTATGCATTATCTCATGGCCCTCACACTGGCTGGGCCCGCCCATATCCACGGCAGGTAGTGCGAATCGCTGGTCCGCGAGCACGAAGCATAGACAATGATTGGAGTTGGGGAATGAAGAGACTCGGATGGAATCGCACAATCGAAAGACAAACAGAGCAGCGAATAACACATTGCTAAGGAAGCAAGCCTTTTTGTCATGAAGAGGTGGAACGCAGGCTGCGAGAAGACCTGCGAGACGCACCAATAACAGGAAGCAGGCGGTCTCACTCATGCAATGACAGTCTGGACATTATTTCTTACATCTTTCTATACTCGATATTCTGCGGGTGGCGCCCTCCCGATTTGCACGCCGCAAAATGCTCCCATGCATAGGCCAGTGGTCTCATCACCTGGCGAACCCAAACGCCGCTCCTATTTCGCGCCTGAAAATGCCTATTGAGACCAATGCACATGTATACGCCTTGTGAACACCGCTGAATCCAGTCTGTCGGTCTAGTCCTTCCACCGTGCAAGGAACTTTGCCAAATCGTCTGTCGGATTTGCTTGTGCAGCAGCCTAGAGATCGCAAGTCAGAACGTGCCAGCATTGGACGTCGTGTTCAGTAACATACCGTGTTCTCCATGCTGCTCACGGAGAAAGTCTGCTGCTGCGTCATCGTGGTCACCTGCTTCGCCGGTGGTAGGAACGTTGTGGCAATCGTGTATGGGCTGGTCGGGTAAATGGGAGAGTAGTTCTTCACAGTGATCTTTGTCGGTGGTATCGACTGCATTGGAGCGTACTTTGTCAATCCGGTCTGGAGCGCAGGTGCGACAGTGTAGGCACCTGCATCTGCGGCAGCGGATGCTGCACCTCCTGCTGCAGCATTGCTCACGGCATCGATGGTGTCCGGCACATCACTCGTTCCAGAGACATCTGCTGCTCCTTGTGCGTAGACGGCCGGGGTGGTTCCAGTCATGGTGGGAATGTTGAAACGGTTCGAAAAGTAGGTCATCTGGCCACCTTCTTTTGCTACTGCCATCATCTTGATGTAGCTAAACATGGGTTCAGCTCAAATTCTCATCGCCCAGGCGGTAGGCATAGATTGATTGTCGATAACTCACTATCCGTTCTTCGTTGGGCCAGCCAAGGTTGATTGCACGGTGCCCTGAAACGAATTGCCAGTCGCGAATGTGCCCTTAGTAGTAAGGACGGCAATTGGTAACTGTGACCGGTCTGTCAGCACAATCTCCTTGCCAACAGCCTATGTGTACGGCGGTGCGGCTCTATCGCATTGCATTGCAGCCCTTGCTCGTGCTCCGTGATTGCTTCAGGCTGCCATGCCTGCTTCTCCTTCACATACTGCATCTGTGCCTTCTTTGTTTCCTCCCACCATCAGCTGGATGGTATATGTGGTCAACTGATCAATACTCGGAGATGTATCATCTTCCTCCCACTTGACTGTCATTGTGCCGGAGGGGGCATTCGAGCCGGCAGCAGGGGCCGTGAACTTGACTCCGGCAAGCACCGTGTTGACGCATGCCGCCAGTATTGGAAGGGTGTAAAATCGCATTGTAGGCGTCTATGCGTCTGTGCGACTATGCGAGTGTGGTGAGCGGAAAGACGAGGAGGCGGAAACAGGTCGGCGTCGCCGTCGCCGTTGTCCGGCGCAGGATCGAGTATGAAATCGTGAAGTGCTGTGACATTATTATTCAATCGCGAAACGGCGTCCCTGTTCCTGCATCTGGGCAAGGGTGCGGGTGCGGGTGCGGGTGCGGCGTTCTTCCGCAACTCAAAGGACCCTGGCCTTGACCTCGATGGCCTGGCCTCCAAGTCCTCGACCACCTCATGTCCTGTGCCTCCCTCCATATGTATCTCTCCGTCCCTCTGATCAACGCGCTACGACTTCTGCAGGTCCATTGAGTCGAGAGCAACGGTGCGAAAGCGATGCACTCTCTTCTCTTGCCCGCTCCGGCTTTTCAGCGAAAAATAATGCACCTGCTTGCCTGCAGACGCACAGCAGTTGTCAGAGCCAACTGTCAGCAGCCCGCCGTGACGGTGTGCGACTGACATGCCTTCGCTCTGTAACAAATCACGTCCGCGCAACTCGCATCGTACACAAAGCGCTTTCGGCAGCGTAGTAAATCGGCGCGATGCCAGAGCTGCTAGCATTTCTTCGAAGCCTCAAGACAATTGTGCTTGCGCCACTCGATAGTTATGCTTCTTTCGAACTCTCGAGCTGACCATCTCTGTCCTCAGAGTGTACAATCTGGAGAGAGAGACGATGGGTTGGGAGTTTCACAATGTCCTCATGTTCCCGAATTGCCATGTCTGTAAATTTTCTTTCCTTGGCCTACACTCAGCCAGGAAATATTCAATCGAGACCCATCCACCCAAGGAACAACATCCAAAGATGCGACACACGAACATCATCATGAGCCTTGTCTGCCTTGCCGCCTTCGCCACATGCTCCTTGGCTCAAAGCAACACAACACTCACGCAGACCGTCAAGGAGACAGTCACAGCAACAGTCACAGCAGCGCCAACAACGATGACTACAAAGAGATCAACTAATCCTAGCGTCACCTCCGCTGAGCCAACTTATCCTTCCGCCACTTCCGTGGAGCCAACTTGTACGAAGCCTCCTATCAGGTATTGATGAGATACCATACGGCCGCGGCGTTGTCTACCACCCAGAGAACTGTACCTACTCTGATGCGCTGATTCCAGACGACATCACACCGCCAGTACTAGAACCTCCCGAGGCGCAATGCAAAATCTCGTGGGGAGCGGTAGTGGATGTGATCGATATTTCGTGGTCTGGCAATGTTGGTGTTAAGCCCGAGACCTTGGAGGGAAAGCTCGTCGAATGTGGAGGTATTACCGACTTCATCCTGTGGGACAAGATGGATTCCAACGATGACATCGAATGGAGCGAGGCTGCTCCGAATGCACGTTACTGGATGCAAGCGTCAGCTCTTCTTGGCAAGCATTATTGTATCCAGGACTCGATCAAGAAAGCTGGCTATCAGGGCCCACCGGTCAAGTGCAGCGGGATTGGTTATTAGAGGCTACGTGGATCAGGATTTGAGGAAGTGAACATGATGCACAATGTGCGAATTCCCAAAGAATTAATTCAGATCTAGCTACTTTGGCGAGGCAGAGTTCGTCGTAAATAGGTCCGAGATACAATTTTGGCGAGTAACGTAGCCATTTTTGTCACATATCAGGTCTTTTTGCAGCTCTGGGATTTCTTTTGTGTGATCAATGTATGCCTTGACGGTCCAGACACCCGGTCTCGATGCTCATCGACGAGCAAGCCATGCCTTTAGCATTCTCTACACCTTACGACCCACAACCCGTCTCTAGTACGTCTCATCAACCCATCACCTGTACCTGCAACTCGGCTTCCTTTTCTGTCAATTTCTCTCCACTCTCCATATCCTTAGTCGTGACCAAACCATTCGGCAAAAGAAAGGCCACATCCTCCTTGACTCCACCGTCATCAGTCTCATTCCACAGAATTTCGTCCAACCTGTAAGCAAAAGCCACGCCGCACCTTCCACACTTGATCAGATAGCGCTTCTCGAAGCCATCCTCAAGTTTCAGGATCAAAGAATTTGAATCAAATCGCGCCGCTTTCGTCAGGACGGCTGAATCGGCGGCGATACTTTCGCCTTGGTTGATTTTGCAAATATGCGATTTGTCGCTCTGTCTCAGTGGTAATGTGTCCAATGGGATCGGTGTCGCTAGAAGCAGTTCTGAGCAGATACAGTGGTATGTTGACACAGTGGGCGTTGCCATGTCCAACTTCGTTACGTTGGTGTACGACAGAGGATGCAAAGTAGAAAGCGAATAGAATTGGGAATCAAGTTTAGCTTCGGCATGACCCGCAATTCGCTCACATGCGAAGACGCTAAGACATATGCAACGATCGTCCCTCGGGTTACGGTCTCTACGTGCTTTAAAAGATAGAATCCTAGAGAGTCGAACCGACACCCCTCTGCGGAGCTGGCGGCGTGTCGTCCTACCCCACCCTTCTATGCCGCGAGCGGGGCCCTCCGGTCGCTATAAGTACCGACTTTGTTTGGAGAGAGTGTGAAAAATTTGAGAGGAAAGAGCAGAGTCGATGCTCATGCATCAAGGTTTGAAAAGCCACACTATTCACAGGTTTCTTTGTAGCAGAATGGCCATAACGCCCATAGCACCCTCGCTCGCTTGCCCACAGTACATTTGTCGAGTTTGCAGTGTCCACGCAACTTCCTAAACCACTGCATTCTACTCTTTCACCGAGCGTGTCTTACTACCCGTCTCTATGCGGGCTTCAGCGCTAAAACTTCATCATCCGATGTGCAGCCTCCCCGGTATCTGCCGACGCAGTACCGGTCGGATGCGGCGGATCGGGGTAGTACCAAGCTGTGATGGCGATGAGCATGTATACGAACACACACAGTGCGCCCTCAAGGTAGTCGCTCTTTTCGTCCCTAAGGAAATTACCGACCACCATGATAGCGAGAATCAAGATGACTGCGTCGAACAGCTCAAAGTCCAGACTCATGTGAATGCCTTGACCCCAGCCGACGAGGACGACGAGAGGCGTGTTCATCAGTGCTGTCTGAATACTCGCGCCGAGAACGTGGCTGAGCGCATAATTCATTTGGTTGTCATAAGCTTCCTAATTTTTAGAGAAAAGTTAGTGACTTATACTCCAGACCTGACGCTGCCAGACTTACATCCACAGCCGTGATGTGTTCGGAGATTTTCTCGACGATCGGAATGAGGATGAGACCGACAAAGGCATCGGAAATGTTTCGCTCCTCGACCATGTAATCGATCTCCTCGACGAGAAATACAGCCATGAAGCTGACAAACATCAAAGCGATGAGCAATGCGACGACGCTTTCCGTGAGAGTAAGCTTCGGTTTTACGAGGTCTTTGTGCCTATCGTGATCACGCTGCTCGTCGGCTTCGAGGATGTCCTCATACAAGCCATGGTGACTGCGCGCTTGAAACCAGACATAGACGACAAAAGCTGTCAGGAGGATTATAGCGGCTGCGCGGGAGATCTTCAGCGTTTCTGGGACAATCACATCTTGGTAGTCCGGCCTCTGAGAGAGTGAGTTGGAGTAAATGGTTGGGATGACGAGACCCATTCCCGCGACGAGCATCAGATTAGAACCCACTTCGGAGATGGCCTCGTGGAAAGTCTGCTGTGGATGGAATATGCCGCCAACGAAGAAGCATAGTCCTGGTGATGTGGTCAGCGTTGCAATGAGCACTTGTGGGAGGAGTCTTACCAAGACACATGAGCAAGTTGGCGAGAATCGAACCGAGAATAGCAGCTCGAATGACGGGGACATTTCGGTCTCCTGCTTGGTTGAGAAGGACCATGAACAGAATGATCTCGACGACACTGCCGAAAGTGGTCTCAAGCAGGACGCCGGCTACCTTCGGAATCTTTCGCGCCAACTCTTGGCCCGCAAAACCGACCAAGTTTGCTGCAGGCACCATGCCAACATAGGAGGTGATGAAGATCCAAAGTTTATGTTCTGGATAGTGGAAGTGTAGCACCAGAGCGGCAAGAGTGAAAGGCCAGAGGATGTTGGTCCACTTGGATGCAGTGCATGAGGATTTCCAGACGATTTTGAAGAAGTAGATGGGGTGGAACCAGCTTCGGCCGCTCTCGCCATCAGGTTGAATGCCTGGCGTGACTTTGTGTCCATTGTGGTTGACGCGGTGACCATTGGCATTGTACATGGGCAAGTTGTTTTGACGGGAGCTAGCTTGTGGATGCCCTTTCTCTTGATCACCAGCGCCGTCGCCCGTGCCAGCACCCGGGTGGTTCAAGGTGTCAGGATGGGCATCTTTGCGTCGAAAGACTTTGACGCGACTCCCCGTTGCGCTCTGGTTAGGTGCTGGGTGTGGGTCGACTCTGGGATGACGGCCACTCATGCCGGGCGACGAGGTCCAGCCCTAAGCTCCTCAATGCCGGCGATGCTCGTCGATGGAGGGTATGATATCGAAGACGGTGGCAGGATATTCGTATTCGCGATCTATCGCTCGTCTGCTAGCGTGGAGCAGACAAGGTGGTGGAATAATAATGGTGAAGCTGGTGTCGAGGAAGTGCGCGCATGAGTGTGGGTAGGGTATTATCAGTTCCTTGTTTCCTTGGGCGCGCACGGCGCAGAGCAAAAAGGAGAGGTGTTGGTAGGTGCAAGCATTTATTTAGGCGTTCCAATGTCGTCGTCGCAGGGCTGAGCCTCAGGGCGCGGGCGAGGGCGAGGTGGAAAGTGAAAGTGAAAGTGAAAGTGAAAGCAAAGGATATGATGCCTACGATGTCATGGTCGACAAGACCTCTGGGCGTGATGCTTGTCTTCCTTGTTTGCGCTGCTCTGATGCCACAACGTGTTCGAGCGAGAGCAGCCAGCAGCCGGCAGCCACGCCTCGCCTCGCCTCGCCTCGCCTCGCACGGTCATCGAAGCTCCAAACGTTATTACCTTATTTCTGGAACTCGAGTCATTTTGGGCCTTGGCGCGCTAGCCAGCGCACGCACCACGCGGGCTGCGGCACCACGCTTCGCTTCCCGGCGGCCGGGCCGGGCGTGACCGAGACATCCACGTCCCGCTCGCAATGAATCGATATCATTATCATGAGCACTTCCATTTGCCAAGCTTGCGGTGACAGTCAGTGTTGACCGCTTCATCATCAAGCGACACAGCCTGATGCTACATGGCGCCCACTCTGCTCCCTATGCTCCGCGTCCGCTCTCCGTGGTCCGTGGGACCGCGGCAGCACGGGCAAAACAAGATTCATCCGGGGACGGGGACCAGCAAAGTCAAATCCACCCCTTCTCACTACTGAACGTCACTCATCTCATCATCATTGTCTTCGTTCTGCCATGCTGTACAAATGCCATCCATGATTATTACTACTTTACATCTCCTCCTCCTGCTGGCCCGGACGCGAAGCCTGTCTTTCGTGGCAATGCAGACTCTCTCCCATTGCTGCTACACATCACATCAGTCCGAAACCCGCTGAGCGACATCGAAAGCAGCTTGCAGTGCTCATGATCCATCATCGGGCTGCGATGCGCCAAAATTCGCACTTCCACAAACTTGAGCGACGTACCATCCAGCTCCTGGAGACATTGGATCTGCAGGACCAGCGTCGTAATACGCCAGCACGCCTTCGCCGCAATTCATCTCGGTCGTCAGTGGATCCGTCGGGAATTCCAGCCTGCACTCGCCACTTCTGATGTCCCAAGCGCTGGCCGCGCATTGCCACGAAGTTGCACAAAGCTGGCAGCACTTTGAGGCGTCGCTGGTGTTCGTCTTGTACGTTGCACCCGTGGCTGGCGTGTCTGAGAGCCATTCGATGCCGTAACCATTGTAAGCACTCGTCATGGCAGCTGGCGAACACTTCGCATCCATCGAGACAGTAGAAGTCGACGCGGTTGATGTGCTTGTCGTCGGGCCGCACATTACCGTGCTCGTCTCGTGGGTCGTTGCTATCGCGTAGGCAGTGCCCGTGACTCCAGATCTAGTGCTCGTCACCGTGGCCTGGCTGAAAGCGGTATAGTCGAAGAAGGTGCTCGTTTGGCTAGCTGGGATGTAGGTGTATGTCTGCCCGTATGTGGTGTACGAAGTCTCGGTCACCACGCAAGCCCTTGGCTTCAATCCAAGAGCTCGCTTCTCCTTGGCAAGAGCTGGATTTGATGATGGCGCAGAGCGCTTGGCAACATCCTCGCTGCCATAGACTGTGATTACCGATGCCGGTATCGTCCTATCTGAGTGTTAGAGACTCATTCTCCAGACCTGACGTTACCCACACTTACACGACACCAGTCTCGCCGCAGGTCGTCTCGGTGCTTGTCAGCGTCTGGAGAGTCTTGGTTGAAGAGATGGTAGTCCACAAAGTGAAGGTGCCTAAGTTCCTGGCAGTCGAAGGCCGTTCTGTAACGACGACTGTTGATGTGTATGTTGCGGTTCTCGTGGGAACGATTACTTGCTTGGTTGTGGTCGAGCAGTCCTCCTGTGGCAAGGCATCTCCCAAGCTGGCGAGCAGCGGCAAGAAAGCGAAGAGGAGCATGGCTGTGGAGAGGTGTTGTGGAACGAGCGAGTGTGATCGAAGCCAGGCAGGCAGGCAGGCAGATGGAGAAGATTATCTATGCCTGTCGGCAGTGGTTGTTGAAAGTGGCAGGTTGCAGAATGCAAATGGTCCCGCTCAGGCCTCTTTATGTATTCCAAACGAGCGTCGTTCGCCACGTGCGGTCCTTCCGTCGAGCAGGCTTGTCAATTGAACGCGAAGAACCAGGAACGTCGCCGAGGGAGTCGAGCAACGGGATTGAAGCGAGGTCAGAGCCTTGCACGAGGCCCAAATTAAATGCTCCCGTCGTTCGACTGTCACTGCACGCTTCAGTGAAACGTCTCTAGTCTCTACTGTACAGCTTTTGATGATCGGACACCCCTGCCGTGCCCAGCACAGAGGGCCTCTAGCCAGGAAGGCGCGCATGCCTAGCGTCGGGAAAGATGTGGCTGCGAGTCTTGCAGCAGTAGTGCACTCACGATTTTGTGATGTATGCTAAAGGTAGCCACAACGCAGCCCAAATCTTGGCTGGGCTGGTTGACCACGACTTTACGTGAGACGCGCCATTTTGCCTCATCACCGGCTCTCTGCAAGTACCCGATAACCTGTTCCTTGCAGCACCGAGGAATCAAATCGCCCTGTGTCGCCCAGCAGAAGCGCTCGCCACGACGGCACACTCGGACTGTAGCCGCAGACGCAGGTGTGAGGTTGGGAAAGGAACTTGGAAGGCATCGACATCGAGCCTTCCGCCAAAGCACGGAAGCCCCTCGCACAGCAGCTTTTCTAGCTGCAGCACTAGGTCTTGCGTCGTACATACACCTGCACGTTCGCGCTCAACTCGCTTTCGCATCAGCATTGCCGTAATCTCACCCCTCCACGATGAAGCAAGTGGAACAGAATGGTGAACTCTTAAGATCGGTCATGGATATGATGATGATCGAGCTACTTTCGACGAGCGGGCACTGGGCATGGCGAGCGCTGGAATGTGGAGTGCCTTGCGCAAACGCCAGACACGTGCAAGGTCTCAAATCTGACAGCTGCCCAGTGCCCACCCTCTGCCCCCAGACCCATGCCCCATGCCCCAATACCCGCCATCTTGGGTCGCCGTACGTCAATATCGAGGTTCCTACATTCTCCGCACACCACCTCTCGGTCTGGTTCATCAGGGACTATGCATTGTCGATCAGGAGAAGTACAAAAATAGTGAAGCCTTGGTGAGGCAGTAAGATCGTACAGCAGTCTAATCGAACTTGGCAAAGGCGAGCTCGTATGCCAGACCGAGTGTGAGACGGGCGTGCTGCAGCATATGGTTGAAATCCAGGTATTCGATCTTGTCCTCCGTCGTGTGAATCTTCTTATCGCTGTATTTGAAGTCGGACTCAATGACGAATGCACTGGGATAGCCAGCTTTGGAAGCAGAGGCGTGGTCACTGCAAGCATATCCGCACTTGGTCTCGACGTACGGAATTGTGCAGTATGTGCTTACCACCTCCTTGATAAATTCCGTGAGGCCCGGGTCGACGTAGTCCGTGATGACACCCACGCTTTCGGGCTCTCCGGCTTCAAGTGTACCGTGGGTATAGCCGGTCATGTCCTGCTGAAGCATAGCCTTGACGTCCCTTCCATCTCTCTCGTACGCATTGAATATAGCTTGGGATCCCAGCAAGCCGCCCTCTTCAGCAGAGTACCTGTGAAAGATCAGTAGACGCGCGAAGCAACAGGAATCTCTGAAATGTGGTCTAACGCCAGCATGTCTATCTTCAACGCGGGCGGTCCGACTGGCAAGCTGCGACGCAGTGGTCGATGAATTGAACGACGACTGCAATGCTCCACTTACCAATGGAACTCGAGGGTATTCTCAGCCTTGCCTTGTGCGATATCCTTGTCCTCCAAGATCACACGCAGAGCCTCAAGGATAGTGACGGTGCCCGAGCCATCGTCGTCAGCCCCCGGGGCAGCAAGAATGGAGGGCAAGAAGAGATTTATGCTGTCCTGATGTGCACCAATAACCACAGTCTTCTCGCTCTTGCCTGGTAGAGTGGCAATAATGCTGTTTTGGCCCCAAGGATGAGTAAAGGGACGAACGATTCCAACGCCGGCATCTGTGAGGGTCTTATTCACTTGACCCAGTAGCCATTCCGAAGACTGACGACCATAATCGCTCTTATAATAGCGGGTGTGATAACTGTTAAGCAGTGTCAATCTCTTACTTGTCTAACATATGTCCTTGTGACTCGGACATGTCGCAGTACATGGTCTGCTGCATCCAAGAGTAAGAGGTTATGTTGAGAGACAGGCTCGCCAACGTCGACATGTACTCCCTGGATGTACGTACCTTGTAAAGACCTCTAGGTTTTCCCTCATATTCTTCTTATCGAGCTCCTTGAGCAACGTCGATAGCGCCTCGTTCTGGGTAGTTTTCTTGGGATATGTCACTTTCTGTGTTTTCCTGTTGCTCTTCTGTCGCACGGCAAAATCGGGATCGGCAGACTGCTCAGTGATATCGAAGAACTTGATGCCATCGCGGCGAAGTGCCCACTTCTCATCTTCAGTAACCCATATCTGCTCTTCTGGCGACAGCTCAACGAGGTACTTCTCGCTGCTGGCGAAAGGATTCTGGCCTTGGACTGCATTTGCAAGATCGGCCCAGGTGGGCACTGAGAGAGCCGATGCTGTGGAGGCCAAGAGCACTGTAGAGAGCTTCATGTTGGGGAGTGGTGTCTTCGCTCTGCAACGGACATGGACTACAGAAGCTGATAAGCCGAAGGTGGGTGGGTGGGTGATGGCTGGGATGGATGTCAATGTCGAATTGTCGATGTCGATGTCGATGAGGCGAAGTGATTAGTGATTGACGATTGACGATTGACGATTGACGATTGACGATTGACGATTGACGATTGACGATTGACGATTGACGATTGACGATTGACGATTGACGATTGACGATTGACGATTGATGATTGATGATGGTATCTACATATACACTGTAAACTGTAAACTGTAACGACCGGCGAGCCAAGTTGGCCAAGAGTCAGGCCCCGCGCAAGATCGAATCTGTGCGGCACAGTGCAGCAAGGTTGTGATCACATGGTGGCCAATCATATTGCTGTCTTAATCAGTTGTTGATTTTACGTGGCCCGACATCGGCATTGGACCTCGATCAAGAAATGCCATATGTACCACACCACACCTTGACGTTGACCTGACACATTTCCCGCCTCGCCTCGCCTCGCCCCAAAATCACCACGCCACACGAAAGAATTGCTTCCATCATGCCGGGCGTGGTGAAAGGCCCGTCGACGCTCTACGACAAGGTGTTTGAGCAGCACATCGTAAGCCCCAATGGCCGTGCATTTGCAGTGAACTATCGTCCTTCTAACATGATTCCAAGGTCGACGAAAAGCCGGATGGCACAGTCTTGCTTTACATTGACCGACATCTCGTCCACGAAGTCACAAGCCCACAGGCCTTCGAAGGACTGAAGAATGCCGGCCGCAAGGTGCGGAGACCAGACAACACCCTAGCGACAACAGATCACAATGTCCCAACGACGCCCCGGAAAAACTTCAAGAACATTAGCCAATTCGTGGAAGAGGAGGACAGCAGAATACAGTGCGAGACGCTGGAGCAGAATGTGAAGGACTTCAAGCTCACCTATTTTGGCCTTGGCGATAAGAGGCAAGGTATTGTTCATGTCATCGGACCTGAGCAAGGCTTCACTCTTCCTGGCACAACAGTGGTATGTGGTGACTCGCACACCAGTACTCATGGCGCTTTCGGCGCTCTTGCATTCGGCATTGGCACGAGTGAAGTCGAGCATGTCTTGGCCACACAGACTCTCATGACCAGCCGGAGTAAGAACATGAAGGTTCGGGTTGATGGCGAGCTTGCACCAGCAGTCAGCAGCAAGGACATTGTCTTACATGTCATCGGACAAATTGGCACAGCTGGAGGTACTGGTCATGTCATCGAGTTCTGCGGCTCTGCCATTCGAGCCTTGAGCATGGAGGCCAGAATGAGTATGTGCAATATGTCCATCGAGGGAGGTGCGCGTGCTGGCATGGTCGCTCCAGATGAGATCACATTTGAGTACATCAAGGGCAAGCCATTGGCCCCAAAGCCAGACTCAGAAGAATGGAAGAAGGCCGTCAAGCACTGGCAGGCACTGAAGAGCGACCCTGGCGCAAAGTGGGACGCTGAAATCATCATCGATGCCAAGGACATCGCCCCTACGGTCTCCTGGGGTACTTCACCCCAAGACGTCGTGCCCATCACTGGCAAGGTGCCTGGCCCAGATGACTTCCAGGACAAGGACAAGAAGCAAGCATGCGAGCGCGCCTTGAAATATATGGGGCTGGAAGCTGGTACTCCCATGACAGACATAGTCCTCGACAAAGTCTTCATCGGCTCTTGCACTAATTCACGAATCGAGGATCTTCGCATCGCCGCACGTATCGTCAAGGGCAAGAAGATCGCGCCAAACCTCAAGCGTGCCATGATTGTACCAGGTTCCGGCCTGGTGAAACAAAGAGCTGAATCGGAAGGCTTGGATAAGATCTTCACCGACGCCGGGTTTGAATGGAGAGAAGCAGGTTGCTCCATGTGCTTGGGCATGAATCCAGACATTCTGTCTCCTGGCGAGCGATGTGCATCAACAAGCAACCGCAATTTCGAGGGTCGACAGGGAGCGGGAGGACGGACACATCTGATGTCCCCAGCAATGGCTGCAGCAGCGGCTCTAGCTGGTAAGCTGGCTGACGTGCGGGAGCTGGAAGGCTACGAGCAAGCACTCCCAAGCGCCAAGTCTGCGCCGACTTCCGTTGAGAGTCATGTTGAAGATCCAGAGTCGGATGTTGACCTCGATAAGATTTTGGATGCGCCAGTCTCGGAAACCCCCGGTACACAATCTAAAGCTCCTGCAGGTGGTGCGGGTGGCATGCCAAAATTCACACAGTTGAAGGGCATCGCTGCGCCAATGGATAGAAGCAATGTCGACACTGACGCCATTATTCCCAAGCAGTTTTTGAAGACCATCAAACGATCTGGCCTGTCAAAAGGTCTTTTCCACGCATGGCGTTTCAATGAAGACGGCTCGAGGAACCCCGACTTTGTCTTGAACAAGGAGCCATACACCAACGCGAAGATCCTGGTTGTCGGCGGTCCCAACTTCGGATGCGGCTCTTCGAGAGAACACGCGCCGTGGGCCCTGTTGGACTTTGGCATCAAATGTATCATTGCAAGCTCATTTGGCGACATCTTCTTTAACAACACCTTCAAGAACGGCATGTTGCCACTTCGCGTGACAGATGAGAAGGCTTTGCAGAAGCTTATGGAAGAGGCGGATGCCGGCCACGAACTTGAAGTTGATCTCGAGAATCTGATAGTGAAGGATGCATCTGGCAAGGAGATTACCAAGTTTGATTGCGATGAGTTCCGACGACACTGCTTGCTCAATGGTTTGGACGACATTGGGCTGACCATGCAAGACGACGAGAAGATCACAAATTTCGAAAAGAGGAGATCGGAGGAGACTCCATGGTTGGATGGGTCTGGGTATCTGTCCAGGCACAGGCCGGGTGCGGTAAAGGTTGAGGCCGCGCCTGTCCCCAAGACAAATCGCGGCGAGACCAAGACCGAGCCGCTTGAATGGTAGCGACGCTCGCGGTAATGATTGCGGTGAGAATGCCGTGTCACGAAGATGACTTGATATCGTTTGTAGCGAAGCCAAGGCAGCACTCCATCTGTGAATGGACGTTCTCATTTCCAAATTACTGCTCCCCATGTCTCTTTGGCCTTCTTCCTAGCGGATACGCTTGCCTGTCCTGTCTACTGCAGTCGCATAATACCCAGACCGGAGCTCTTTCAGGCGATCAGCACATCTGATCACGCCACAGCATTTTTCAGTACGCAATCATTTGCAACTTTCCAAGACAGCATCTCACCACTACATCCAACAGGCAACGACAATGGCCGCTCCATCAGGCAACCCAGTCGTATTCTTCGACATCACCCTCGGCGGCGAACCTCTTGGTCGTATCAAGATGGAGCTCTTCGCCGACGTGACGCCAAGAACAGCAGAGAACTTTCGTCAATTCTGTACAGGCGAGACCAAGAACCATCTGGGAAAACCTTTGGGCTACAAGGGCAGCACGTTTCATCGCGTCATTAAAGACTTCATGCTTCAGGGTGGAGACTTCTTGAACGGCGATGGTACTGGAAGTGCCACTATCTACGGGACCAGCAGCTTTGCAGACGAGAATTTTCAGTTGAGGCATGATCGAGAGGGACTGTTGAGCATGGCGGTGAGTGATCAGCAGAGCTGGAAGTGAATTGGTGCGCGATGCTGACTGGTATTCGCAGAACTCTGGTCCTAACACCAATGGCTGTCAATTCTTCATCACGACTGTGCCAACGCCGCACTTGAATGGGAAGCACGTTGTTTTCGGCAAAGTGGTGGACGGCTTAGACGTGGTCAAAAAGATTGAGAACGTACGCACCAAACCTGGCGACCACCCACAACAAAACGTGGTAATTGCGCAGTGCGGCGAGATGTGAGACTTCCGGGATGTCTTTGCCGTGTCCGTACTGAGCTCAATTCGCTAAAATGTGCACAACAATCCTGTCAAGGCCAGGACTGCGTAAAGATTTAGCTCGGCGGAATTGTGCCGCTGGCAGTCCTTGAAGTCGTCCAAGCTGGTCAGCATGGTCCTTGTCTGTTTGGGATCAATCGTCAAATTCATCCATACCAGGCAGCACCACCGGATGAATCGCATCGGAACAAGTCTGCCGGCATGTTAGCGTGCATCCGACATTCCATCCTAGAGGTCTATCGCTTTCTCCTCGACACTAATGCCTCTTCTCATGCCACAGACTTGATCCTCATCATTTCTGAGACTGATCATACAACAACTGCAGTGGGCTGGATGATGGAAAGCAGAATGAAACGACATCTTCTGCCTGGAGTATAGGCGTGGACCATTGTCTGCGGAAGACTCACACGACTTGAGGTGGAGCCAATGGATCGATCATACGATAGCGAAGATCCTGAGCTTGGAGCCATTCTTCGTGGTCCTATTGCCATGCTAATGCAAAAGAACCTCTGCCTCAGGCCACAAAGGTCTCCGCGAACAATCCCGAAGTATCTTACCATCAAGGTCCTGCTTTCTTCAGGCATCCTTCGCTTCACATCTTCCCACTCTCTTTCCATTGGTCAACTTCACATGTCTATCTCATGCTTCCTGCCGTGTGTCATCACTTGTCAACGTAGTTCCCTTCCACGTCGCTTCAACATGGAGCCATGTCTTATCTCGGCCCAACCAAAGAAGCGGCGGCCAGCGACATCCCACGATAAGCTTGACTGCATCATGCATGCATGAATCCACACCTATAAGTCATTATTGCCTATTCATCTCAGAAAACATGTAGGTCATGGGAGGAAACCCAAGTACCGGGACCTCATCAATATCGGAGCTTGCAGGATGCTGCGCCCTATCCTTGCCATCGCCTTTCTCGCAGACTTGACTTCATGCCATCAAAGCCAACAGCAACCAATATCAGAAGCAAGTCTGTCTATCAATGGAATTCCATTTTCCACACGAGCATATTGGATGCGAGTCGCGAATCAGCACTCTCAGACCTAGTATCTCCTTGTCCATTCGGAGCTTTCGGAACAGCAATCGTGAATCACACAGATAATGACGATGGGTTGGGGGAATTGGTATGCATTGGAGCGAATTCGATCGCGAGTACAGGAAACCCAAGCATGCACGGTAATATCACTTTGAAAGGCCTCGAATATAATAATCATTGTTTGTTCTGATTAAAGGCTTCCAGGCGAAATGGCAGCAATCCTAAACCGGGTAAATACTCAAATGGGAATCATTGGCATAGTAATTACTGAGATGGGACTCCTCTTACTCAGATAGTAAACATTAGTATAGGAATTACTCAGATAGGACTAGTCCTATCTAACTAGCTTTTTGTAGCTATAGGAATTACAGGTACAGGAAACATTAGTACAAAAATTATACGTATAGGAAACATTAGCGCAAAAATTACACGTATAGGATTTTCTATATTCGTAGCCTTAGCTAGTAGATACACAAATATATACTACTAAAGTGATTTAGTATAGAACGATTAAAGAGTCCTTCGTACGCTCGATTCTATTATTTAGCTTACATTTTCTATATCCTATACTACGCGCTATAAATACAGAAAAGATAGTACAGACTCGGCGAATCGACTTTACGACTGTACTACTTTACGACTTTACGACTTAAGTACGAGACGACTAGCTTTTAACCGCTCGACCTTCGTAGTAATCGACCTTCGCTATAATCGACTTTCTATATTCGTAGCAATCGACCTTCGTAGTAGTCTACCTTCGCTATAATCGACTTTCTATATTCGTAGCAATCTACCTTTATAGCAATCTACCTTTATAGTAATCTACCTTCGTAGTAATCTACCTTCGTAGTAATCGACTTTCTATATTCGTATATATTTACTATAGATATAGAAAATCGATTAGTTATATATATCCTAATTAATCCTAACTAGTTACTCTCCTCTACTCTAAACTTAAAACCTAATTAGTCCCTTTTACTATAATCTACAGTTCTACTATTATTAGTTCGTAGGGATAGTATCGGGGAGCCTCGGGCTTAAAGAAACCCTAACTATTGTCGCCTAGGTCGTAAAGCTTACCTTAGCCGATTTACAATTTCTATATCTAGTAGTAACTACTACGGATATAGAAATCTACAAACGCTTTACTCGAGTAATATTACCTTATTATAGCGCGAAGCTAATCCGTACTAACTATTGTCGCAAGGTCGCGAATCTTACCCGACTAGAATTATAGTTTCTGTATCTAGCAGCAACTACTACGGATATAGAAATTCACAAACGCTTTACTTTAGCAATATTACCTTGCCGTACCGCGAAGCTAATTACCGTTACCTAATCTAAGTAAAGCCCTACCTAGACCCTCGTTATTACTTAAATAATAGAACAATAGCTATAGGGTTTTACGATAGTATATCTCTTCCTTAGTTCTTCCTTCTGCTTCTTCTTCCCTTCTTCCTTTAGACATCGTATATACCCTCTTACCCTCGTCTATAATATTACCTTAAATACAAGACCTACGTTAACGGTATAGGAAGCAATAAAGATAGCCGGTCCCTAGTTTGCTCCGACCGCTCGCGGTTACCCCTTCTTTAGCTAGGTACAACTTAACTAAACTTAGATAAGGAAGGCATTAAGTAACTAATTTGCTTTATTTAGAGCTCTACCGCCTACCGCTACGGCCGCCGTGCTATTCTGTAAGTTGTTAACATTAATAGCATTTATTAGGAATATATACTAATTACCTCTAGTCGTCGTATTCGCGAGCGCTTAGCTGCCGCCGACCTCGCCCGCCGCTCCCTTAACGCCGCTCGTTTCCGCGCGGCCTTTCTCGTACTACGCTAGCGCCGGCAGTAGCAGCAGTAGTAGGATAAGTATAGAGCTAGCAGGTTATTCGCAGAGCTTATTTTACTAACAGTCTATATAGTAATAATATTATAGTCGACGCCGGTAGCGACGACGAACTAGCTCTATAAGTTCTAGTTTAGTCCTCGAGAACTTAGTATATTTAGTATTTTTATATCTTATCTATAGGCAGAACGACTACTAAGTGCCGCCTTTTAGCAAGGAAACTCTACCGTATATTCAATTATTTCGAGCTCCTTTACTATTAATAGAGAGCTAATATTATTATAGTATCGACGACGATAAGCCTGCCGCCGCCGCCGCCGCCGCTCTACCCTCCCCCTCCCTCTCTTCGGCCTCCTCTTTTTTCGAGCCTGCTACCGCCGCCCCCTCTTCTAGCTCCCTTATACCTATCGCCGCCGCCGCCCCTCCCTCCGCCCCCTCTATACTAATCGTCGCGCCTCGCGAGGTACTAACTTTTCCGGGCAAGACCCTAGCCGATCGGGCTAGCAATAGACGCGGTCGTTTAGCGAAAGCTAGTAAGAATATAGTACCGCTTCGCTGCCTAGAGGCGGTAGATAAGTAGTAGTCTATTTCGAAGGAGAAGTAGCGTCGTATATTTAACTTTAGAGTACAGAGGTCTATATATATATACTAATAATTATTTAGTTTACCCCGGCCGTTAGAAGATCTAGTCGTATATCGGCCGTATTATAGAGATCCTATCGCTGTCTCGCCGCCGCTGCCGCCTATATATTAAGTACTACCGCGAGCCGACCTACGAGTGCCGCGAGTACGCTACTAATGCCTTTAGTATGTAGCGCAAGTGCGCCCGCTGTATTTAGGCAAACTATCTATATATAGATCGCGACTCGCCGCCTTATTTATCGTCGGATAGTTCGGATAGTTCGGAGGCTAAGGGTAATAAGGACGAGGAGTAGGCGCTAGGTCTTTGTTTTTCTGTTTTTTTTTTCTACTGTTTAGTCTTAGTCTAGGTTAGTCTAGGTTTGGCTAGTATTCGGTTCTCGAGGCCGCCTCGTCGTAAGACGAGGTCGTAAGACCTTATAGCATCTCGTAGTAGCTAGCGCACTATTACGCTATTAAAAATGAAACTTACTATATAGCGCTAGACGCTGCTATTGCTAACCGCTTGCATTCTCTTATTCTCTTATACTATCGCAGTTCTTATCTATATCGATAGGCCTTCTTATCGTAGGTACCTACAGTCGATCGAATTTCTATATTTATTACTATAGACACCCGCTAGCGCCCGCGTTAGCTAGCTAATCGTGAATTTCTGTATTTATAGGTATACCTACGTACTTCTATATTCGTAATCTCTAGAAGGCCTAGTATATCCTGTTTATAAAGTATTAATATCGTAGACTCGAGAACTCTAGTTACGTCGGTCGTAGAGCGTATACTTCGAGAAGTTACGTCGATTGCCTGTTTAGCTATTTGCCTCGCTCGTTGCAATTTCTATATTTACTAAACCAGATACCCGCTAGTGCCCGTATCTGCCGACTAATCGTAAATTTCTGTATTTATAGGCGGACTATTAGTCTTTTATATTCCCTAAAGCTAGGCCAAGTCTCTGCTCCTACGTTGCCTCCGCTATTGTCTGCGTATATGCCTCTATCGTTAGCCTCGATTTAGACCTAGCTAGCGCCCCTGCTTCTAAGCCCTTCTATTCTATTGTTTGCTATCTACCGTATTCGTTAACTCGCATGCTATTCGACTTGTTGCTTATTGTTTGCCGTTTACCGTTTGCTGTTTGCGTTTATATAAATACAATAGGCGGCAAACAGTATAGTACGTAACTAGTAGTTACTATACATTATATACGAGTCTATATACTCTTTGTCCCCCTCTTTAGTAGAGCAACTCTAAAACTAGTACTCGAAATCGTTAATGCCTTTACCGAATATAAGAGATCTCTAGGCTCGGGTAGCTCGGATCGACGCGGAGATCTAGAGAGTAGTTTGACAAGGCTCTAGCGGCAAACTAGTTAGTCTAGGTACCGAGGCTAAGGCTCGAGCAGTAATCGATCGAGAGTAGGGAGCGGAGGAGGAAAGGTAGCAGTAAAAGGCTCGAGAATAGTATAGGCGGATATAGGGCAATTATCTAGAAGAGACGCCGCTACCGTCTCTATCTATATCTACTAGTAGTTAGCATAGCAACAAGAATTAGAAGCAAGGGGGAAAATGCATTATACTATAATATAGCACAATACTATAGAATATCGACTAGGTACGAACCGGAGGTAGCGTTTAAACCTAGGCATAGCTAGTTTCTATTATAATAGTATAGTATAGAAATAGCGAGAATTATAGCGCTATATAGATATAGCGAGAAGCGGCGGCCGTATATAGGTATAGCTAGACTCCTATTCTCTAGCTTAAAACCTACTTAGTATCTAGTTCTCTCGCTCGAAATCTGCGCTACTCTTCCTAAAAACCATTAAAACTCTAGCTCTCCTACTCGAAATCTGTACTACTCTTCCTAAAAACTATTAAAACTCTAGCTCTCCTACTCGAAATCTATACTACTCTTCTTAAAAACTATCGAAACTCTAGCTCTCCTACTCGAAATCTATACTACTCTTCTTAAAAACTATCGAAACTCTAGCTATATCGCTCGAAATCTGTACTACTATACTTAAAACCTGCCGAAACTCTAG